GAAGACCCCAAACAACAGCAGCAACAACGGCAAAATAATTAACACACATGTGCAAATTAGAAACGTTACACACACACAAATTAACCACCACCTCTTTAGGGGGACGGTGACCCAACGGGGGACCCCTGAGATCAGCGGCGGCGAAGCACCACCAGAGAGCACGCCGTGGACGTGAGCCCAGGGATCATCTGCAGCTGCTGCAGTAACGCCTGCGCGTCTGCGTGAGTTGCCACCACCTCCAGCGACCCCGCCATCTTTGCCTGAATGATGTCAACAAAGGACACCATGCCGTCGCGGTGCCGCTCGCAGCATAGGAAGGCCATTCCGCCGGTACGCAGAAGCCGCGCGAGTGCCGGGGCCACGTGGCTAGCAATGGTGTGGTCGTACACAATATCGCTGCCCAGCACCAGGTCGTACTGCCCACACATGGCATCTGGAATGGACGCGAAGTCCAAACAAAACGCCCGCACGGCTGCTCTTCGTTCCGTACCCTCTTCTATGTCAAATAGGGAGGCCAAACTCGGGCCATTGCGCCATGTGAAGGAGCGTTGAACCTCCTTCACCACGGCAGGTGATATGTCAGTAACATCAAGCCACGTGCGGTGCAGCCATACCGGCTCCTGCAAGAGACGACTGGCCAGCACAAGCGAGACGAGCGCGGGACCACATCCAAGTTCAATAATTCGCAACGGACGGCCCTTGTCAGTAGCAGAGACCAAACGCAGCATGGTGCCAAGCTGCTCTATAATGTACAGCGCAAGGGCCACTGAACCTGGCCAGAGCCTCGCCCCCGTCTCACCCGCGGCGTAGTCAGCAAACCCAAGCACAATACGCATCATCTCATCCTGGAGCCTCACCCAAAACAACACGTCTGCATCATGTCGAGTTGTACCTCCGCAGCAGTTGGAAATTGACGCAGACGCTGCAGCGATGATTTGTTGCGTAAGAAGCATAGCTTGCCGCTTTTCATCCATGTCGCTCACTGCGTCGCCGTCGCAAAGGAGCGCGTCACATGCCTGGAGATTCACTGCCCGTCGTACGACGACCGTCAGAGCGGTGGATAAGGTGTCGCGGGTGAATGCTGCATCTCCTGACAGACCGCCCAGCGCGGTGTACTTTTGCACATGCTGCAGCAGCGGCAACAACTCGGCCGGCGGTGGCGTATTGCGTTCCCACCGCGACAGACACTCCCGCAGCGCCGTTAAAAGGCCGTCGCTGTCCTTGTAGAGACGTTCCACCTCCCGTAACGGGCCGTCGTCCGCAGGCTGCAGGCCGGCGTTGGTGGAGTACAAACGCGACATCCCCGCCCTCATCCTGCTCCGCCGGTAGCCAACTGCGGCGCCGTACATGCAGGGAGGTGCGCTGCCAAGGCCAGACAGCCCTTCCACCTCGTTCTAAATGCCCGGGCGTAGACATGAATGAAAAAACAAAAAACAAAAAAAATAAAAACATGGAAAAATAAAATAAAATAAAGAATAAAAAATAAAACCCCATTGAACCAACCAACTTCCCCACACAACATCGCAGGAAAGCAGCTAAGGGGAGCGGTGCATGTCCTGCCTCACTTTTTCTTGACGGCCCCGGCACAATTACCCTTTTCTAGGCGTGCTTCTTACTGGGCGCTGTGCAGATGACCGCAACTGTTGTCGTGAACTCAAGTGTACAACGACAGGTTGATGCTGAGACGATGCGGGACAGCCGCCGCTGTGCGCTTTTGCTGAGCCTCTCTCTCCACCGCTGCAGGCGATGCGTGCGGTGCTTCGCCACGGCTCTTCAGCTGCATGAGTCGACGCAGCAGCACCGCCTCTTCACTGGAAAGGGATTGAATGATGGACTTCAGCTCATCCGAGTAGAGGTGCATCAGCTGCTGCGTCAGCACAGCGCAGGCGTCTGGGTAGTGCGAGCCCACCTCGTCTGTCGCGTCAGCGTGAGAAGTCGTTCCCGCTTCCACCACCAACATCAGCAGGGCGCGAATAAAGAGTCGAATGCGTTCCAGCACCTGTGGACTGTGCTGCTCCTGCTGCAGCGTTTCCGCGTGAATGATGCACAGCAGGGCGTGCTCCACACACGGCGCCCACCGCCGCCGCAGCTCCGGGCGACGTGCCGAGGAACACGCCGCCAAAACGGTACCGCACAAACGCACATCGTGAGGCATCGCAGGAAAGACACGCCGCAGCAACCCCAACGGGTCAGTGCTTTGCGCCAGAGCCTCCATCAGGCGCGAGAGTGCGGCATGCATGACACGCGACCCCGCAAAGAGTAGCTGCTGATCGTCTGTGGAATGGATGAGCAGCATCAGCAGAAAGCCACACGCGCTCTCGAGCGCCATCCACCGTCGCTCCTCCCCTGAGAGGTGCTGCATGTACACCGTTGTGATCGTTGTGGGCTCGCTGCTTGCCAGCAATACATCGACGTTAAGGGACTGCAGAACAAGGTTCATGGAGTCAACGCTGCAAGACGCCTCAGCGGCCAGGCGTAAACTGGCGAGCGAGCCCACACATGGCCGATGATGCGTTGCCAGCACCAGCAGCAGTGATTCCACCTCAGTGGCACACTTTCTGCAGTTGGTGGCTGCTGCGATCTCCAGCACAAGCGTGGCATCTTCGTCGCTCAGAGCGTCTTCATCCTCCTGCAGAAGGAGCCCAAATGCCATGCTTACCATGGCCTCCTGGTGCGTTGTAGAAAGCAGAGGCACAATCGTCTGCATGGGACGCAGTACCACACCCGGGGTGCATAACAGCAAACACAAGAGACATCCGGCTGTGTGTCGGACAGTCGGGCCCAAGACCTCCAGGGCGGAGCACATATTCTCTAGCATACTAAGAGCGTCGTTGGGCGTGGCGTAGCCGCAGTCATCCAGCGGCGTTGGGATCATATCATACGCCGGCTTAAATCCGTGCATCATTGCCAGCGACGTTGTCAGCCGATTGCATACCAAAGTCGCAGCCGCCTGCCCACTCATCGACGCCATTGCCTCCGATGCCGCCTGCTCTGCCTGCAACCAGTGCGCAGCCACCGCTTGTGTGCGGCACGCCGAAAGCGCCAGAATAATGCGCCCGCAGCCGCCGTGGGCAACGGCGTCGTCGTCCGCTTCGCACCCCTCCAGCGTCTCCAACAGCGTCCTCAGAGCCACAACCACACGACGCACACTTGCGTCATCCGCCAAGTTACACTGGATGAAACTCTCCGCAAGCTGGCAGCTCTCCGCACAGCAGAAGAGAGAGCGCTGGATGATGCGCCGGATGCCACTCACCAACACGACGCGCCAAGGAGTCAAAAACGGTGTTGCGGCGTCCTTTGCACGTTGGCCATACCTATCCACAACTGCCAGCAGAGCGTCCACTGCGGGACGAATAAACAGTGGCTCCACCTCCACGAGTGAGGCGCAGGAGACGAGCAAATGCAGACGACGCTCCAACAGTTCGTCCTCCAACCTCACGCAGAGGTGGGGCTGCTGCACCATTTCAGTCAACAGCGACAGGACTGCCAGCTTGGCACCTACCTCGCTGGTCACCACCCCTGCCTTCGCGGCGTCGCCATCCTTCGCCTCGTTCCCCTTCTTCTCCCTCGATGCCGACAAGCCACCCATTCCCTCCTCACGGCCACTCGTCACAAGCGGCTCACGTGCTACAGCTTCTCCGTCATGTGGCTGATGCACCGGTTTCCCACGCATAATCAGCTCCATCTCTTCTTGACACGCACCCAGGTGCGCCCCATCGGCACCGTGCAGCACAATGCGTGCCACATTTATCCACGCATGGCGGGTTTCAAGCGATGCTGCGGCATCTATCATCTGTGCCAGACGCCCAAGTGACATCCAAAGGCTATTCACAGTCGTGGTGGCGCTGCAGCAAACCCCCATCATGTCTGCTGCCGCGCGGGACACGAGGTCGTTAGAGCAGCCATTGCTTTCCAGCAACCCCAACACCTCTTTTTTCAGAGCAAGGGGGTCTAGCACGGGTGGAGAGGTGGCTACTACACTTGCCATCACCTTCATCAGTGGGCGTTGAGGTTCCGCCGTGGCGTGACGCAGCATGTTCAGCACGGCACTGGTGGCCTCCTCAGAGAGTGCGCGAGAGGAGACAACGGCACTTACGACGCCCCGGACGCAAATACTCACACTGGGGTGTGTCGCCGGAGGCATGTGCGGCACCACAAGCAGGAACAGCTCGAGCAGAAGCACCAACACGAAGGGGTCGACAGCTGCTGTTGTGGCAGGTGACAAGAGTTGCGGCATCAAAACAGTGGAGACGACGGCATGGACTTGCGCTGAGTGATGTGGCACCATACGTGTCATCGCCACCAGCGCCGCCGCCACGACTGCCGTCTCCCCCCACACACCGTGCTGCTTCAATACACGCAGCACAAATGAGATTGCCATGGAGGCTGTGGCGCTGCTGTCAGTCCTGTGCATCTCGCCAAGCGCGAGGAGGACGCCACTGATATGGTGGACATCCACGCCGGTGCTAAAGTTTTTCACGGCGACGGAGGTAAATTCGTCGCGCCTTCCGGTAATTGCCGCCAGGCGCGCCAACACCTGCGCCGCAGCGAGCCGCACCGCCCACACACTAGAGGACAGCCAATGGTCCTCTACAAACGTAAACCACTCCGTCGCTTCAGCCGTTACCCACTCCAATGCGCTGTCGCACCGCACAAAGAGGCAGTTGAGGCAGCACAGCACGTTCCACGCCGTCACCATTGGCTCTCCTTCGGCGGCAGCGCACCACTCCCGCAGACTGTCAAGCACAACCTTCCGGCATCCCTCTTCCACACACTCAGTGCAGCCTGCAACAACCAGACACACCGCGTGCCATGTGGCATTCGCCTCTGCCTTCTGCGTCATCGACGGCAGGAGACGTTGATACTCGTCAAGGCACTCCGCCGCCACACCCAAGAGTCGTGCGCCCTCCACCTCGGCGGTGTCGCCTTGCTCCTCCGCCAAGCAGGGTAAACTGTTGCGGTTTGCCCCAGACAAATCCGCAAGAGCCTGCATTACAACACCGCGTCTGCCCGTGCCATCCGTGCAGGCCGACCAGGACGCTCTGGTGAGCAGTGCATACGCCGCAGACCGCACATCCCGCTGCAACGACACACTGGCCGTGTCAAGTGTCTCCAACAGCGCAACAACGAGTTTCAGCTCAGTGTCGGATGCCCCAACCTCCATGAGTACGGCGCAGGCGGAACTTGCCGCATGCCCACACAGTGACGTGCCAGACGGATTGCTGACCAGCAGACTCAAAAATGCGCGCACAGACGTCCGCACGTTAGCGATAGTGACGGGGGACAACTGGCCACGCTGGTGCTTGAGAAGCAGAAGCGCAAGTCGATTAAAGTACTCCACGTGCCTCAAGAAAAACCCCTTTACCTCCGTGGGTGGAATGTCAATACTAAAAGTGGCGACAATCTCAAGCAGAATCTCCAACACGCACCGCCGTCGCACAAATTCTGCTGGCATGACGAGGAGTGCTTTTGCGTGCAGGGAAAAGGACGGTGACAAAGGCTTATCGGGTTCCACCTCACTACTTGCGGTGTATAAATCACGCAGTAGCGCCCGCCCACACATTTCATTGTGCTGCGCCAGACACGCCATGGCTCTGCTAGTTACTTGCAAAAGGGATGGGTGCCGCATTGGAATTCGCAGAAGCTGCGCCCAAAGCGCCGCCGCGAACTCGCTCGTTGCAAGAACCATACGAACTACACCGGTGACGCACAACAATGCGGTGTGTGTAACGCTCTTTGCACATGAGGCGTCAAGAAAACGTATAAGACTCCTTACAACGGCTCCACGGAACATGTCGGAGCCCACTCGCGACGCCCAAAGCAGCACGGCCCGAGAGACAATAGTTGGCATGTACATGCGGTCATCGTGCGGGACCGGCTGCAGCAGCTCAAAAAGACGGCTCACAGCCCTCCCCATTGAATCTAACGAAACTGTCTGCAGTAAAAGTTCCCCGATGGCCACTGAAAGAACACGTTGCGTCGCATGATTCATTGCACGAGGGTTGAACATGTGCCTGATAATATCCGCAGATTCAGCGTCAGTCGCTGCAGCAAAGCGTGTCCAATCAATTCCATCCCGCGCGGCAGCCAACAAGCACCCGATGGCTGTACCCACGTCATTTTCAAGCCGGCAAGAGATGTCATCAGACTTGGCAAGACTCATCAGCATGTCAAGCATGGCGGCAGACTGGGACGCCTCCAGCACCACGCCCCCCTTTAGCAAATCACATATGCTTTCCACCGCCCTCTTGCGCACCACAAGAAGAGGGCAAGCCATCGCCTTGCGCAGGTAATCTAGCCAAGCCGCAGCCAAAAGCGGCCGCCTCGGCAGCAACAACGACGGCGGCGTCGGGCCGCCCCCAGTTCTCTCCTCCTGTGCGTATTGCTTTTGTCGTTGCTGCTGCTGCTGTTGCTGAATATATTTGTGGGGCTGTAAAATGAGATATGGAAGAAGCTCCAGAGCAGCCACCCGCGGGGCGACAGCCACCGTCTTGACAGGGTGGGGAAGGTTGTGCCGCGGGACGCAGTCAACATCTGCAGGGCATCGCTTGAGAACAACTCGCAGGAGCGTCAGCGCAGCTTGAAGCGTGGCATTGTTGCCTCCGCGGTCCTTCGCCAAACGCTTCGCTGCATCCCACAGCCGTGGAACGTGATGGGCGGCGCTCACAGCCGGATTGGCCCGCGCCAGCAGAGCATCCATGGCTCCCGCCCAAGCCTGGACGGCGAAGCACGAGAGCGGGTCCTCCAAGACGCTCTCCACCGCGAAGCCAACCACCTCGGCGACGGCGCCGCTGCCCGCCAAAGCTCTCCACTCATCACTCTCCAACGCCAGCACCTGAAGCTCGAGGAGTTGCACTGCTGCCGCATATTCTGCCTGATCCTGCTCATATGTTGGCCTGGACTTCAGCTGAGCGGCGGCGCGTCGGAGCCTCTCGAGCAACAACAAGAGCCAATTCGTGCTGGCGTCGCGTACCATGGCACAGCGCACCTCACAATGCAACGAAAAAAAAAAAAAACGGGAAAAACTATTCTCAGCTGAGAACTTTTGGAAGTGTAGGGGGGGGGAAAAAAAAAAAAAAAACATGTGGGCAAGCGCTGGAGAAAGGAAGGATTCACACCAAAAACGCACCACGGCGCTCGCCTCAGCGCGCTCTACAGACAACAAAGAAATGACATCCCTCATGGCCCTGGGCTCAAAGAAGGAAAACAAAAAAAAACAGTATGAGTGAGTGAGTGAGCGCGAAAAATGAAAAAAAAAAAAACTGGAGCTTGAGACACGGCACACACACACAAACACACAAACACAGACTCATTGCTTTTGTGTACATGATAAAGAGGGCAATCCCACAACCTCGGTGAGAAAGGAGGAGATCGCGAGAATGAGAGCGAGAGCAAAGGTAAGGAATAAAAAAAAAAATGCAAACTGAGTGAACTGAAGTCTACCCCTTTAGGCGCTTTATGGATGCTCCCCACGTCTCTCGCCACCTCGCCTCCTGCTCTGTCCACCCCTGAAAGGCATCATTCGCCCTGTCCACTACGTTCGAGGAGGTGGTGTTAAAGTATTGAACAGACTGCTGCGTCAGCTTTGCGATTTTCATGTGCAAAGACGTTTCAGGTGCAACAATGGTCACCACCGGCCCCCGTTCATCGGCCACGGGCGGGCCGAAGACATCCTTCTTCTGTCTTCGGTTGGCTGGCGGAGTCTGAAGCCGCGTCGCCAGTGAGACGCGGGCAAACGTCGGTGTGAGGTCACTGTTCGGAAGATTGATGGTGGCGCTCGGGTGCCCGGCGTTGAAGGATTCCAGCGGCCGCAAAGCGTGAAGCGGCACGCTACCATGTTCCACCTCCAGCGGCGCCGGGGTGGGCAGCTGCCCACTCGCCATCTCAACAGGTGAAGCGGACTCCGCCCTTTTACCGCCTAACAGTGTGCCGGACGAGGAGCGATGAGTCATCGTTTCACGCAGCCTCCGCTCACGCCTCATCGACGACTGCTGCTGCTGCTGCGCCTCCTTCCCGCGGTCCTCCTTTGCCTTGAGGCGCAGCAGGCCACGCAGCCCCCGGTGGCGTCCACTGCCCTCGTCATCGACGGCGGGCTTTAAACTCTCCGGCATTACAACCCCCCGCAGAAATGCAAAAAAATTGTTGTCTACATTAAGGCTTCGTGCCGCGTGCATGGCGGCCTCATCCTCTATCTCGCGCAGCGTGTAGCCCCAAAGTTTTTCGATCGTGGCTTGCGCCACGGTCTGCCGGAGGCTCTCAGCCTTGCAGAGCTCGTTCAGTTTGCTGTGGTTGTAGTTCGATGCGAGGGTAACCTTAACGAGGCGATCGTGCATCGCCCGGATTGCGTCAGACTCGCCGTAAAAGCTAGCAAAAACATCAAACACAGTCGCGACACGTCGCTCGAGTGCCATGAAAGACAAGGCGCATGTCCCATTGACCAGATACCTCGGCATATTCTGCAATGCCACAAAGAGGCGGTCAACCTGCTCTCGGTATCGTCGCGTCGCCTGCACCACGTGCTGCATTACCCTCCGTTGTTGTTGGTCACAAACTGAATCACACATCTCCATCACGTCCTGCAAGCTCCCACCTGTCATGCCGGGCAATCGGCGCACAACCGGGGATGGGCACACAGAAAAGTGCTGCTCTGCCGTATGCTCCACCTGTGACCTGGCTGTCGCCAGCCAATTTTTTACCTGTCGCTCCGCCGAGATAACTTCGGGAGGCTCATTTGTTGTGTAGAGCGCGGCCAACACGGAATTCGGTGATATCGACAACCTGGACCTGCCTCGGACGCGTCCCTGCTTAGATAAGGCGGAAGTTGTTGCTATTTCAGTCCCCGCTCCTGCTGCGGCCGTGGCAGCATCTTCCCCCGCTGCTTCAGCCTTGGCACCAAGGCGGGGGTCAATGTAGTTTTCCTGCGGCACGTTAAAAAACTCCATGCCGTACTGCAGGCAGTCCAGTTGCCGTCCACGCACATAAACCATCTCGCGAATGTGATCCAAAATCCGCAGCACCTTTGACATGTCACTCGCGCGGATCTGCCGCTCAATGTCGGTCTTCACCTCCGCCAACCGCTCACTCAGCTCGGCCTCCACCTCGCGTATGCTATCTTCCGTGAGCGTCACCGCGGTTCCCCCCGGTCCTCTCGCAATGGACTCCATCGACAGCGTGGGTGAGGAGGAGGGTCCACCTGCAGGAGGCAGCGTCAACGACTCTGCGGTGGCGCCTGCGCCGCCATACACCCACCCCGCCACTTTCGCCAGTGCGTTGGAAAAGTCGTATGACAAGGGCGATGAGGACAGCTTTTCCTCCAACTCTTTCAACGTCTCCTCAATCTTTGCCTCACTTGTCTCCGAGAGCGTCATGAGGGAGTGCACCTGCACCTTGAGCCGTGACAGGACCTCCTGCACACGCTCCAGCAGCTGCAACTCCTCCAAGTTCTGCTCAAACACCACCGCGTAGCTGGACTTCGCCGCGTCCAAGTGCTGCACGTGTTGATCGCGCTCCGAGCTAAGTTTCTCCTTAAGAGCCTTTGCGGTGTTGTGCAATCGCAGCAGAACTTCAATGACCTGCTTGCAGCTACTGTCATTCGGGTCGTCCCACGCGCTTGTGTCCTCAAGTTTGTCAAAGCTCTCCGGGACACCCTTCCCGCAGCTGAGGAGGTAATTACGGCACTTGGACTCCAATAACTCCTTCTGCTTCGCTACATCCGCCATGATCTTGTGGTAGCGATTTGAGTGTGCCTCCAAAGAGGTGGAGGCAAGGGAGGCAAAGTTCCGCTCCTGCAAGATCAGTGCGTTCGTCGTGTTCGCCTTTGGAGCCAGTTTTTCTAGTTCCTGCAGCTGCTCGAACAGCTGGGTATCGTGGGCCTCCGCCTGGTCACCCCCCCCAATGGAAGACCAGACGTTTTCAAGCACCGTAAAATGTTCCAGCAGACGGTTGCAGTGGTTCTCCTTCTTCATTTGCGTCGTCTCAATCTCGCGTATGCGTCCCTCGTAGTATTCGGACTGCACTGTGGCGGGACGACGTCGGTGGTACCGCAGGATTTTATTCGTCTCCGCATCAATTGCGGACCTCTGCGCGTTGCATTGCTTTTGTACATGCTCCACGGAGATGTGGCGAAGTTGCACGGTCCAGTTGAGCACCTCCACACGAAGCATCTCGCGCCACTCCTCCACCGTGGCCGATGAGAGCGATGCTGTCGCCTCGTTGTCCCCTTGCAGCGTGGGCCGCAGCAGCGACTCGTACGTGTCGAGAAAGGCAGGCGGTGGCAAAACCACCGGCACTGGGGACAATCGAGGGGAGGTTCCGCTGCTCTCACTCTGTGCAGCCCCGCCCTTCACCTTTTTGCTGCTGCGCTGTGACTGCGGAAGCGGCGGCCGCCTCTTCCCGATCGGCATCAGGCGGTTGCGTCCACCTTCGCCGCCAAAGCTTCTCTTCCTCTGCAACTGATGCGGCGGCTGTTGCGACGGCGAAGACGGCGATGCTCCTGCTGACGTAGTGGGCGGTCTGTCGCCCAACGCTATGGGCCCAACGACATAGTACATCTGTCCATCCACCGCCGTGATGGTGGGGTACGAGGGCACCGAATCCAAATCACTCAGGGTGTCGGGCTCCACCACGACTTCCTTCGCACGCCCCCGCTTCGTGGTGGTGGTGGTGGTCGTCGTCGCCGTCGTCGCCGCCTCACGCTCGCGCTGCAGGCACGCCTCCTCGCTCTCCAGGCCAAAAAGCAGCAACAACTTGGCGCAGTGCTGCTCCACCTCCATCTTCCCATCCTGCGCCACGCGCTGCAGCGACTGCACTGTGTGGTGCTTGAAATCCACGTGCTGGGCGGCGATGCGTTCAAGCACAGCCAGACACTCGACAAACAGTACCTCCGCTGTCTCCATAGTAGGCGCGTGCTGCAGTTCCTCCTGCTTCCGCGCGAGCTCCATCTCCACGTGGCGAAGATTGTCGTCGTGGTCCTTGCGTGCCTCATGGAGAGCAATAAACCCGGAGCGAATAAAACCCAGGGCGTTTGTCGCAGTCTCCTCCAACGCGTCTGTCGCCTTCTCAAAGGTGAAAAGTACGTTGATCGGCCCGGTAAGCAGCACACTCTCAAGCGCCGCGTGCTGACTGTTCAGCTCAGTCTCCACCTTGGTAGTGAACCACTGGCTCTCACGTCGGATGATTGTGAGCAGCGGAAGCACACCCGCGTCCACCTCGGCGCTAAATTGTGCCTGCAGCGCAGAATTCGCACAGGTGAAGCGGCTATACACCTCATCGACGCCGTACAATGAGGCCTGCGCCAACAGCTCCGTCTCTTTCGCCTCCGGCTCGCATATCCAGCGCGCGAGGGTGTGCAACTCACTGAGGAGCAACTCCGCCTCCGCACACAGCTCCTGTTCCGCAATCCGGACATCCTCCACGGCGGTGGCGCACTGCACCAGGATGTTGCGTACCAGCACGTTCGCCTTGACGCGCCACTCCACCGTCACCTCCGAGGGACTCACTGGGAAAACTGGTGAGAAAAGGCCACCGTTAAAGCTGCGCAGCCAGCCATCAGGCAGAGTCCCACCGCAAATTTGGCCGCACTCCGTCTGCAGCGGCTCACGCGCGCGGCGCAGTGACTGCACTGTCGTTGCCATATTTCCTAGAAACTGCGTCCCGTCCCGCCGTATGCTGCTGACCAGTCGGCCCGTCTGCTCAACCGCCCGCATGCGGCACTGCGGTCGGCAGAAGTGTGCCGTTTGCAACAACGTTGTTGCCCACCTTATACAACTCCGCATCATGAGCTCCAGCGAAGTCCCGTAGACATCAGCCAGCTGGCGGCTGTATTGCCGTTGCAGCAATATCTCTCGACAGCGCAGCTGCGCCAAAAGAGTTTCCCTGCTGGTGTGATTTTTACAAAGATGCTCGTTGATTTCATGAATCGCCCGCTGCGCCAAGACGTGGGAGGCACCAATGCTTGTGTAGCTGATCTTTGTGAGAGCCTCTACAAACTCTACAAGCGACTTCTTAAGCCCCTCACGTCTCTCCTTCTCACGCGTCTCCATATTTTCCTCGCAGCTCGTGATGGCGTCAACGCGCGACTGATACGACTGGCGCATCTCGACGCACAGAGAAAGCAGACGCTGGCGCTCCGCCTCCAGCCGAGCCTTGCTGTCGTCTATGCGTACCTCGACCTCGTGGTAGTCGTCTGTAAACGGCTGCATAAGCTCCTCTGCGTCACACACGGCGGGCTGCGCAAGCAGATTTTTGTGGGCCTCCACGCGATTCGTCTCTGCCTGTAGCGCTGCGGTACACTCGTTGTGGCTGCGCTGCAGAAATTCCTTCAGGTTCACCAGCCGAAGCATTTGTTCCTCGTCGAGCTGCTTGTTGAACTCCCGCACACCATCGTGGAAGGTGACCAGCGCGTTTTGGTAGCGTGCAGCCATCCGCAACTGCAGCCGTGACTCCTTTGCTGCCGCTCGCTTCGGTGATCCCATCGCACGGTGCTATTGTGTTGTGCTCTGCAGCCACACACACGCACACAAAAAAAAAAAGCAAGAGACAAAAAAAAAAGGTGAGAAGTGGGGTATGAGGACAAAGAGAAGAGACAGCAACGACAACAAAGGGACGGTGCAAACGCTCCGGCAGCAACACAAGTACGCGAGGCAGAAAAGCAGGCAAAAGTGCTCCTACGAGCCGGTGGCCCTCCGCAGGGTCTCCCGCAGCCGATCCAGCGGGGTGCAGGGGGATGGCTCCAGCATGTGCAAGGCCACTTCACGGACGAAGGCGTTTGCCTCCGCCACGGTGACACGCCGCGCGTTCATCCACCGCGCCACGTGCGCCTCCACCAGAGCTGACACCGC